CTCCCCCTGCTTGTGTTCCTGCTCTCGCTATCTCTCTGTCAAATAAATAAATAAAATCTTTAAAAAAAAATAAAACATAATGTCATGGAAAAATGTTCATGATACATTGTTGAGTGAGAAAAAACAGGCTACAAAACAGTGTGTCCAGTATAATTCTGTTTGTGGAAAGTACAACCTCTGTTAATTTAGCATTGGCTGGAGATAGCACAGTAGATTTTGTTGGCATTCTACTTTTTGATTTCCAATAAGACTTCTGGGTTAATGCAGGGTCTGCTGGATTTTGAGTCTCCTGAGGATTTGGGGATAGACTCCAGTGACCAAGAAGGAGGCTTGGCTAAGGTACTCTATATAAATATTGTTTTATATAACTAACTGTTAATGGTGTTTGTCTATGGGTGGGCAGATTTATAGCAATTTTGTTTTTCTTATTTATGATCTTTATTATTTAAATTTTCTAAAATAGCATGTATCTTATAATTTGTAGTCACAGAAAAAACAAAAAAATTAAAGGCAATTTCAAAGTGAGGTTTTGTAACAGGATAACTAGTAATATATTTATTTTCCTCCACATAAAAATGTTTTAACAGGAATACAAAATTAAGTGAATGTGTAAAATGCTTACATAAAAGACTGGAAGTAAATATGATAGAATCTCTGCTGTGGTTTTCCTGCAGGGTAGGATTATGTATGATTTATATTTACTTGTTTGTGCTTCATAGTATATCTGATTTGCATACATTATGCCCTGTTCACCTCTAAGTGTGTTTGTGGGTGTGAATTCTAAGACAGCCAAGGTTCCCTCGGAAGAAATGGTGACCATACCGTACTGGGAAGAAATCTGTGACTTAGGAGTGGGGTTTCTTTTAAATTTTCTATAGAATATTCTAATTTTAAGAAAAACATGAGGAGCAGTCCTTCTCTGCTAGTATATATGGTAGGGACTCCTTGAAATTAAGAGAAGCTCAAGACACAGGTAATATAGCCTGGAGCAAGGGGAGCTAGGCTGAGTTAGTTTAATAATGTTTGTAAGGATGTTTCTGAGCCCTGCATTACACAATGTAAAAGTAGCTACCTGCTATGTTTATGGGAGGAGGGTTAGTGGGGAGGAGAGAGAATTGGAACAGTTGAGTCTCTAAAAGGAAGTTGCGTTTTAAGCGTTGGGTAAAGAGGAAGACCCCTGGTGTAAGAATGTAATCCTTTATTGATATATTACAAAAAACTCAGGTGAGAGTCTGTTGTCTTCTCCCAGCGCCTGGAGCATGTTTATATGAGTGAGAGGGTAAGAATCCATGGCAGATTGTTGAGTGGAAGCAGCGTGTTCCCCTCCCATTCATCGGCCCTGTCACTCATATCTCTGATCCAAAGAAGCTAATCCTCAGTGCTTAGGCAGAGATCAGGAGAACACACAAACCTTTGCTTACATCACACGTAGAGGACAAAAAGAGATGGGACTATACAGGGAGGGGAGGGGTGGCAAAGAGCTGTCTGTTTTTTGTTATGGAAATCGATATGTTAAAAAGAAAAAAAAAGGAAGAAGCCAAAATTTTTTTGTTGGTATTTACCATAGAACAGATAAATATGTCACGTAGGTAGCAGGGGAATAAAATACTGGAACTGTAAGCAAAAGACTTGCACACTGAAACAATCATCCCTGTTATGTCCTAAGTGTCTCAGTAGTAATAATTGGAACATTGGTCTCTTGAATTAGCAGTTATAGTGTTTGCCCTCAATGCTGAGTCTTCCTGTCTGGGAGGTGCAGACCTTGTTGGCTTATCTCTTTGGTGTCTTTAATGGTGATAGAATGTGAGAAAGACTGGGGAAGGAGAAGAGGGAGGAAGGGCAGAGCTGGGGCGGGGTGTGGGGATTCGAGGTGGCAAATTCAACAGGCATTTACATGTAAATCATGAGTAAACCTCCACATGGAAGCTCATTCTCTGCTTCTATAGGAGATTACAAATATCCTCCCTGCGATGGTTTTAAGTATAATTTTACCCATAAGAATAGGACTTTCACATTACATTCAGGAATATGATACTCAGATATTACTTTTCAATAGGCTCCTGGGCTAGGGGTGTAAAAAGGAAGAGCAGCCTATTTAAAGGGTCTGGGTTTTCCATGCTTTAAAGAAGGTCAGTATGTTTCTTATGCAGCATGATGTCCATGACTTTATGAACTCCATTCTTCATGAGTGCCATGTACAGAAGGTGTGGTCGATGATTTTGCTAGTGTGTATATCATATATGTAAACCAGCAAGTATCTTTAGCCACCATTCTTTGGGAGCAGGGCAAGAGATCCATGTATCCACCTTCTCCGTCTCTGTGCTGGCTGGATCCATGGCTCCTTATTTCTGTCCTGTTTCCCTGGTTCACTTGGTTAGATGGTTTACCTTTTGATTTCCAACAAGGCATTTGGTTTCCGCAGAATGGGCCAAAGAGGACCAAGGATTCCGCATTCTCAGCTGAACTACAGCAAGCTTTGGCCATGATGGAGGATTTGATCAAGTCCTGTGAGTTGGCTGTGGACCTGGCAGCAGTCACTGGATGTCCGGTACGGGCTGTAGCAAGTGTGGGAACAGTTCAGCAAAGGGCAAGCACAATATTACAAAGGTAGGAGATGCTGTGGCAAAGGTAGAGAGGTGACCCGTGGTGAAGGAATCTGACTCTGAGGAAAGTAGCCTAAATTGTGCAGCAAATCTGTGCTGTGGGAATCCAGGCAGCCTCTCAGCATTTTCAGGAGTCTTGGGTTTGATTCCTTGGGGTCCTGAATGTTGAGACTGACCCACACTCTGGAACGACCAGGAACTCAGAGGCCAGAACATAGATGGGCAGAGGAAGGTGCTGAAGGAGTAATTTATTCTCTGACTCATGGCACTATTAAAAGATTAAAAGATTTTCCTTCTTGCCTCAGATTTTCTCTGTGCAAAGTCCTTTGAAAATGGGTCCTAAGTGAAAGTCTAACTCCATTTTTATGTCACAGATCTCAGAAGAGGACCAACAAGAATATATCGTATATGCTGTAATCCAAATGGTTGAAGAAAAATACCAGAAGAGGCAGTGCTAGGGAGTTGAGCCCTCTCAACACGGGCATGAGGGTAAACTCTGAGCGGGTCAGTCCCAGGAATTCTAGGCAGGCCACCCTCTGGAACCAGATGAGCTCCTTGGGACTGGAACATCATTACTATTCAGCTGGGTTTCACTGGGGGGTGCTCTAGATCTTGACTCAGGTGGATTAGTTTTTCATCTTTGTCATAACAAATTACCACAACCTTAGTGGCTTAGAGCAGCACAAATGTATTATATTATAGTTCCACTGGTCAGAAATATAACACAGTCTCACTAGGCTAAAATCAAGGTGTCTGCTTTCCTTTTTTTTAAAGATTTTATTTATTCATTTGACAGAGAGCGAGAGCAGGAACACAATCAGGGGGAGTGGGAGAGGGAGAAGCAGGCCGAGCAGGGAGCCCGATGCGGGATTTGATCCCAGGACCCTGGGATCATGACCTGAGCTGAAGGCAGACGCTTAACGACTGAGCCACCCAGGCACCCTGTCTGCTTTCCTTTTGGGAGGCTCTGGGAGAGAATCTGTTTCCTTGCCTTGTCCAGCTTACCAAGGCACCACACATCCCCTGGATCATGGTTTCTCCTTCCATTGTCAAAGTTCTTCTTGACTCACATCATCCTGACCTTCTCTTCTGCTTCTCTTCCACTTTTGAGGACTCTGTGATTACATTGGACCCACCCATTCATCCACGGTGTCGGCCTATCTCGAAGTCAGCTGATGAACAATCCTAATTCCATCTGCAACCTTAATTCCCATTTGTCATGTAACCTGACATAGTCTCAGATTCCAGGGGTTAGGATGCGGACCTCTTTGGAAGGCTATTCTGTCTACCACACAGGGATGAAGCATTTTGAGGATTACACTTCAGACAGACACTTTTCCTTCTCTCTCTTTCCTTTGCCTTTTTACCTGGCTTTAACATACTGTTCATTGAGGTCTGGGCAAAAGAAATGACTCTTTTCTTTCCTGGCCCTAAGTCAAGCCATGCAAATTAATTAGGGGCAAAAAAACCCCCATGATCTTTTTATTTCCCTCCCTCCTGGTATTTCCCTGGCCAGCATCTCAGAAGCAGCCCCACTGGGCCCACAGTGATCCAGGTAGTGATGCTGTTACAGTCCCCTGGGACTCAAGAGTGCTCTCTGTGTACTACTGATGAATGATTCAGGAGGGTATTCATGAACCACAAGGTATGCGTGAGAGGGGATCATTTTCTTGGTAATAATTTTTTCCTTCTTCATTTAAGGAAACTCAAGGGAGCCATTTATTTAATCATTTTGGGACATCTTTCTGCTCTTTTTATGTCTGAACACGCGTCAGCGACCCCTATTAGATATACACTTCCCTGAATCAAATGAATGTCCCGGAAACCATTCACAGAGCAGGAAACTCCCAGTTATTATTCTGAGTGTAAGTATCAGAGGGGGAGGAAGTTATGAGAAAATAATTAGTAAAATGTGAGTAAATAGCAATCTACTCTAATTTCATTCCAAGCCAGCTTGCATGCAAATAAGATGAACCAGCTTATAGAATTGTAGAGATTCTTTACATCAAATGCAAAGAATTTTTTCTCCCATATGTCCTCAGAATTGCACCTTTGACATAAACTCTGTTATTGTTTTTTCACTAAGATTTTAACTTGCTTTACATCTAGTACATTAGCTACTTTACCCTGACAGTTTTGTATAATCCTATTGAATTAAGGAAGAGCAGGCAGTGAAATTTTCCCTTTCTGATTCATGAGTAGATCCACAGAAAGAAGAGTTAACTCACCCAGGACCACACTGTGCATCAGCTTGGACCACTTCTTGGATCTCTTCACTCCCTATCCAGAGTGCCATTCATTCTCTCAATGCATTCTTCGTCTGATTTTGTTTAGAGTCTACTAACAGCTCAGCTACTCCTAACTCACATGTAATGATTCTAAGATTCTTTGACTCAGCTTTGTAGAACCTTACCACAAGGTGCTGAAAATCACATGCTGAGTGGGTGGATGAACCCAGAACTTAACTGTTAGTTTCTCTACTTGACATCCAATATTGACCTGGTTTTGAAAAGGAAAGACATTGAACCTGAGTGGGTGAATGCATAATTAAAACAACTAGAAAAGAAATTCCCTCCTGATATTTACATTTTAGTCCTATTGTGTACACTCAGTTCTCGATTTAATTCAATCACAGGAATTTTAAAGTTTTTTTTGTTTTAAGAAAGTTTGTTTTGTGGAACACTGAGATGTCATTTACTTCCTTCCATTGGCAAAAAAAAAAAAAAAAGTTTCCCCTCTATTCAATCTAACACATAAAATAGAGATATGTAGGGGCGCCTGGGTGGCTCAGTCAGTTAAGCGTCTGCCTT